TTACTTAAGTTCCGTATTGCACTTGGGTGTCCTATATACTATGATGATTCTGTGAGCTCCCGTCCCTAAGGTAAGATCGCACGCAAGGATTTCATATGCTTTCGGAATACTCTCCTGAAAAACGAGCACTGGAAATAAGAGGTCGTTTAACCAACAGTGCAACTCCACCCCCTTTAATTCTTGGTCTATCACATCTAAATATTTCATATGAGGCACAAATATCACCTAATAGAGGTTCCATCTTACTCATAAGCTTTAACCACGTTTCTGTAAGGGCTACAATATCACTGTCGAGGGTGGCAAGTGAGTAAGCAAGAGAACGAGCATTACATTGCAACGAACGTATGTTACTCAAAAAACCTCGTATGACATTATTTGCACACCGAGGAACATTCATAGGTTTCCCGACGAAAGCATATCAAGAGAGGAATCCGTCGTGGCAGTCAATGATGCGAGAAAGCTTGAGGAAGAGGAAGCACAAGTATCAGGAACCATACCTTGAACTTTTTCAGCAACAGAAAGAGATTCAACCTGTACACGGTCATCTAGCTTATTAGGAGAGACATCAGAAGCGGGGCGCATAGATCTTTGAGCTCGTAAACGTTCCCGTTCAACTTTAGTCAATGAAGGTCGAATATAAATTCCTTTCACATGAAAGTACCTAAGAAGCGGTGCCCTTTTGACTACTAACGAGGCAACAGTAAGATGAAGGAAAGACAATTTTAAGAATCCTATTTTTGTTGGGGACAAGGCGCCCATTCTATACACTGCGACAGGGCGACAGTCTACAGAAAGATAGTCCAATAGTTGTCTAAGCACAGGATGAGTCATATAATACTCTGTCTGACGGAACACGAGCATTGCATTCATCGACACCAATCAATGACAATCGAACGTTTTCGTTCCACCTCTTCAAAGCTATCAACTGATGAAGTAATTGGAGGAAGGATACTAAGCTGTGAAGAGGTGTTGCACGAGAGAAACGATTGTTTCATTACTCCAATCTGTGACCTAAGACTAGATATCTCATTTACTAACTCTATATTTTTTGCCTAATGGCCTTGTTCTCTTCAAGGAGCTCCTTATTTCGCGCTAGCAGGCCGCTAATCTGGTCCTTCAGCTCAAAAAGGAAGCCCATCGCGATTTTGAGATGAGGAGGTAGCGAAGCGTCGTTTATGATCAGGTCGATCGCGCGATCGAAATCCATCTCTGGGCTTTGTAGATCGATCCTGTGCTTTTTCCCTCTGCGAGACCTGAAGGGAAGGTGCGGCTACTGGAGTGTCCATTAATGATTTGAAAACAATACGGAAGAAATTCGCTTGAGAAAGTGGCTTTAGTATACCGCCAGGTCCCCAGCCACAAGGGTCCCAATGCGATTTCGAGGGCAGTTGTACGTCGACAGAGGAAGGCAATGCGGGTATGGTTTACACATGCGGTAGATTTCCGTAGGGCGACGTTCTACATTGAAAGCATCAACCTTGTTTACTTGGTCCTCTATTTCTGCCTGAAGCTCAAAAGGACGCAGCGAGCCTGTGTTTCTTGAATGCCTGCAACGACTAAACTGCGGTCGCACTTATCGCCTTCAATGAGTCAGAAAACTCCCTAGATTTCTTCTGTGAGAGGATGACGAGCAGCTCTCTATAGCGGGTCTCGATTAGGCTTCATACTGTTCTCGTGAGTTCCGCTGCCGACGTGTTATCGAAATTCACTGACTTGGATAGAGCAGGCTGTGAATTGATGATGGAAATGGAGCTGGAGCTGGGTTGAATTTTCGGAGACCTTCTATATTGAACTTTCGGTGACATTGCTTTGATCCCTGATCTACCTAATATTAAGTCAGTTCTCTAGATAGCAAGGAAATACTGATGCAAACCAACAAACAAAAGAAAAGATGGTAAAAAATCGAAAAAGTCAAATCATACAGTAATAATAAAACAGTTTCGTCGTTCACTGAATGAAAAACCAGGAAAATTTAAAAAAAGGAGGAAAAAATAACAGGAAGGACCGGTAAAAATCCATCTCACGTGTACGTAGCCGCCCACAGGGGTCACGAGGTCGATTCGACTGAGCCCAGTACTCCCAAGGCCACTCATATCGTTGTATGTTGCCCCCTCCCTCCCGAACTCAATCAGGTGTGAGGACGCAGATCAAGCTGATGGACTCCGTGACATGCTCTCAGCTCAGGTGAGCTCGGTTGCTCGATTTCAACCTTCAGAGTTACTTGGGAAATCTGCGTGCAGTCAACGCTGCATCTACAACTTTTCTGCATTGTTTCCAAAAAACTGGTTCAAATGAGCACGTCCTCTAGCTAACGCATGGCAGCAACACACTGGACGTAGTTTTTTTCCATTTCGCAAAAAATGTAGGAAGTATCACTTTGAGCATTCTTGGCAAATCCTGACCAGATTCCACTCGCTCCAAGATGCTGGAGGCTTTCATAGTTCTGTGACTTCCTGGACTTGTGATCTCATAAGTACGACTGCCTAACTGGATAAGTATCTTCGAGGGTTGATTACCTCGATCCATTACATTTCCATGGACGATATTCACCATAGATTCTGCAATAGCATCTTCAACGCGTTGGCCCTATTCGTTCCGCTGAAGTTTCTCAATGCGCTACCTCCTCAAGTATTAATTGCACATCAGAAATTTGGCAACTTAGAAATCACACCTATTTCGAAATCCGGACTATCCATAGAGTAGTTCGCTGAGTACATAGGAACGATTTCCCCCCCCCCCTCCTTAGCCCCAATAAATCTCCAACTTATTAACCTCATAAGCCAACGCCCACGTTCATTTGATGCTCCCACACCCTCTGTGGATATCATAGCCTTCCCCATGAGGATGCAGTATGTACTGGTTTTGCATCTCAAAAAGGGGAGAGGATAGCGCCCGAATTCGCTAGTGAAGAGTCGGCCGCCGCCCACCTGGCGACCACGCGTCCATCTTCATTTCTAATGGTTGCCGGATGGTGCGGTTGTTCTGCTGCTAACTCTCTCTACGAATGGTGAGAATGAGGTGATAAGGGAAAGCAGCTGATACCAACAAGTGAGAATGTGCAACCGCTCCTTCTGTTCGCCTTAAAGACACTTACCGCGATAAAGTGGTCCTCAAAATGAATTCGTGCTGTTTGGAACCCTCTACGCCTTGACGAAGATGATAGCACTTTCATCCCTCAATATGGCGCGATGAGGAAGTTATAGCGATTTCCACAAGGCTCGCTAGGCTCGCTGAGA